AATCAGCTCAGATTCCTCCAAATGGGGTTAATGCCTGTTTGCCTGGGGCTGGTTATCTTTACTATGTGTGTTAGGGTAGGCTGAATGGAAATTACAGAGGAAAATAGAAAGCAGGATGTCTTCAGAGTACCATCCTTGTACTAGAAGTTGTCCTGGGCACAAACCATAGGTTGAAGACAAAAGCAAAAAATTCCAAATAACCTCAAATATCAGGGATATTGAAAACTGCTTATGGGCAGATACAGTACTAAGTAGAGATTAAAAGATAAAGAAGAGTTAATTTTCCTGTTCTATTTTTTAAAAGAATTATTTACTTAACTTTATTTATTCATTCATTTATTTTTAAGTTGACCAGAAAGATACAGAGACAGAGACACAGAGAGAGAGAGAGAGAAGAAGAAGAGAAAGCAAGCCATCAGGTCCAGGACTCGAACCGTTGTCAGCCATGTAGAGTGTACAACACCTTTACCATCACACCACCTGTTTGTCCCTCTTTTTTCTGTTCTATAATGTATATATTTTTAAGTACAAGTAGAAAAGCTAGTAAGTACCAAAAAGTAAAATAAAAACAAAATTCTCCAAAAACTTCCATTACCTAGAGACAAAGTATGTCAATATTTGAGAATACTTCTTTCTAATTTCTTTTCTAGCTTTAAAAATTGTGTCAAAATGAAGCCAGCAGGAGAGCAGAGCAAGATAGTGAAATAGGATTCTACATCAATAATTCCCCCATCAAAACATCAATTTGAACAACTATTTATATACTAAAATACCTTTATAAGAGATAAAGAAACCAAGTGAAAAAAAAAATCACAGTACCTGGCTATAGTAGAAGAATAAGAAAATGTACATTGAAGGTAGAAAAGACAATTTTTCAATATTCACATTGCCCTTTTCCCCATCTCAGATAGCACAGTATAGAGGCAGACACCATCTGCTTGGTAAAGAGAGGGAAATGAGTGTAGGACATTGCTTTGGTCTCTGACATTGGCTTGCCACAATAAAACACAGAACTGGGGAGAGCTCCATAGACTTTGTATCTAGCCAGAACCTCTTCACCTGTCCCAGTACCAGCCAGGAACACACACTCTGTGAAGCAGGCTTGATCTTTGGCCCTCATCACTGCCATCCAACTACAGTGATGTTAAGTTTCAGAAAAACTTCAGTCATGTGAAGACCTTAGTGGCTGCTTTGAGTATGCCCCAGCACTCTACCAACCTCAGAGGCCAAGGGATTCCAGTCCAGTACAGTGCTGACTATGGTCGTGCTGGACCTACGGTACCCTCTAATGCTGCAACAGCTGCAGTGCCTAGGGACCACACCAGATGACTAAAAGAAGTACTTCTTCATTGTGCATATATCAATGCATGACCATCAAGACCAAGAACAATCAGGAAAACATGTCACCAAATACATAAAATAAAGTGCCACTAAGTGACCCCCAAAAAGATGCATATGTATGAACTTCCTGACAAAGAATTCAAAGTAATTGCTTTAAGGAAGCTCAGCCAACTTCAAGAAAATAGAGATACAATTCAATGAAATAAATGAAAAAAAAAAAAAACCAGAATAAGGAATTTAAGGAAATATTGTAGAAAAGCAAACAGAAGTTTTAGCATTGAAAGATACAGTAAACAAAATGAATATTGCAATAGGAGAACATTGACAGCAGAATTGATTAAGGATAAGAAATAATCTGTGGATTCAAAGCCAGATTATTTAAAAATATGTAGTCACAGGAGAAAAAAGAAAAAGGAATGAAAAAGGATGAAGAAATCTCTCAGGATTTATGGGAGAGCATTAAAAGAGCAAATGTTTGACTGATTGGAGATCAAGAGGGAGGAGAAAAAAACAAAGGGGTAGAATGCTTAGCTTTAGAAATAATAATGGCAAAATTGTTTCAAACCTGAACAAAGATATAAATATTCAGACATAAGATCAAAGATCATCAATTACATTCAAACCAAATACTCCAAGATGTACTACAATCTAACTGTTAAAGATCAAAGACAAAGAATTCTGAAAGCAACAAGAGAAAAGAAACAGATTCCATATATAGGAATGCCCATAGGCCTAGCAGTAGGTTTGTTTTCTTTTCCCATAGGGCATGTACATGTGTGCTTGTCAGAGAGAGGCAGAGAGAGAGAAAATGAGAAATCACCCCCCCAAGGGGGTGACCATATCACAATCCCTTCTCCTCCACTCTCCCCTCAGGATTTTGGGCACCCATGCACATATGCCTGGTGTAATTTTCAAGCCACCGGTTCTGGAACGTGAACCACAGTCAGCCATGTGGGAGACCAGCACCATAATCACCAAGCTACCTGCTGGCCACAAACGCTGAATTTTTTAAAAATAAAATAGACAAACAACTATATAGACTAACCCTGAAAAGCAGACAAAGCAACCCGATTAATAAAATCAGTAATGAAACAATATTACAACAGAAAGCACAGAAATGCAAAAGATCATGAGAGAATACTAGTAGCTATTATATTGCAATAAACTATAAAATCTAAACGAGATAGACAGATTTCTGAACACATACAATATACCTAGACTGAATGAAGATGAAATCGGAAGTCTGAGTAGACCAATAGTGAGCAATGAGAATGAATCAGTAATAAATAGACTCCCAACAAGAAAAAGCCCAGGTATTGATGGCTTCCTTCACTTGTGAATTCTACAAAACTTTTTTTTTTTTTTTTTTGGTTATAGGTTGTATGCACATGCTGGAGACAAGAGACAGAGAGAGAGAAATGGAAAGTGAGAAAGGACCCTCTAGAAGTCATGGCCACTTTGGAATCCCTTCTCCATTCTCCTCTTGGCATTTTGGGTATGTATACTCATGCAGCTGGTGTATTTTTCAAGCCACCAGGTCCAGGACTTGAACCACAAGCTGTTGGCCATGAAAGACCCAATCATCTCAACCTCCACACCACCTGTTGCACTCCCTAACAAAGCTTTTACAAAAGAAGAAACACTAAATTCTCAAATTATTTCTAAACATCCAGATGAAAGGAACTCTCCCAAACTCATTTTATGAAGCCTCCATTATCTTGATACCAAAAGTAGACAACAACACAACAAAAGAAAACTAAAGACCAATATCCCTAACGAATACAGAAAGCAATCCCATTTCTGATAGCCACAGGCACATACACAAAATAAAATACTTAGGGATAAATCTAACAAAGGAAGAGAAAGACCTCTACAAGGGCAATTATGAAAAACTAAAAGAAAAAAAGAAAGAAAAGAAATTGAGTATGATACAAGGAGCCAGACCTCATGTGGCTGACTTCATGGTTCAAATCCTGGTCCTGGTGATTAGAAAAACATGCCAATGCCTGTGTATGTATGCTCAAGTCTCAATAAGATGGAGAAACAAAGAAGAGATTGCAGTGTGATCAAGTCCTGTTGGGGGGGTGGTGCTTTTTCTTCTCCCTCTCTCTGTCTCTGTCTTAGAGGGTGCACCCTCTAAGAAAAACCTTTTTTTTCTTCCCTCCAAAGAAAAAGAAAGAAAAGAAATAAGCCAGGCCAGAAAGACAAAAAACGTATGATCTCAATCATATGTAGAATCTTTTTGGAATGTTGATCTCATAGAAGTAGAGAGTAGAATGGTGTTATGAGAGACTGAAGTGGTTAGGTGGACAGGACAAATGGGCAGAAGTTAAACAAGTTAGAGAGGAGGACTGAGTTCAAGAGATCTGTTGTATAACAAGGCAACTAAACTTAGTGATGATATATTGTATTTTTGAAAAATGGTAAGAGCTTCGGTGGTGTGTTTTCACCACAAAAATGGTAACTATATGAGGTAATAACTCAATTAGCTAGATTTAATCATTCTGCAATGTATACATGCTTCAAAACACAAGTTTACATGATAAATACATATAATTTTATGTTAAAAAGTAATAAATTGCATTGTATCCTGTTATATTTACTATTTTAACATAAAATTTTCCATGTCACTACAAACTCCTTTTAATTATCAATTTAAGAGTTGTATAATGTTTAGGTATATTGACATAGTATTTTTATTTAGTCTTTCTTCCATGACTGAACAGGTTGTTTCTTTTTTATTATGTACAATACACTGAATATCTTTGTGAATTTTTTTTCTGTACTTAGCGTTATTCCTTTAGACTAGATCCTTAAGTTTGAATAAATTATGGTGTCAAAGTGTATGCATTTTTTTTAGGGGTTTTTGCTATAGGGTGTGTGCACTCGCCAGAAAGACAGAGAGACAGAAAGTGAGAAATCACCCCCCAGCAGGGGATAGTCTTGCCGCAATCCCTTCTCCTCCATTCTCCTCTCGGGATCTTGGGCACACATGCACAGGTGCCCAGTGTGCGTTTAAGCCACCAGGTTTGGGACTCAAACCGCAGTCAACTACATGGGAATCCAGTGACATAGTCATTAAGCCAACTGCTGGTCCCAAGTATTGTGTTTTCTTTCACTTAAAAAAAAAAAAAAAAAAAAAAAAAAACTTCAGTGGGGCCAGCAGGTGGCATAGTGGTTAAAGCATTGGACTCACATGGTTGACTGTGGTTTGAGTCCCAGACCTGGGAGCTTGAAACTCACGCGGGGTGCATGTATTATTGTGCCTAAAATCCAGAGAGAAGAATGGAGGAGAAGGGATTGTGGTATGGCCATTCCCCTAGGGGCTGATTTATCACTTTCTATCTCTTTGTCTCTCTCTGCGTCTGGCAATCACACATGCCCTATAGGAAAAATCTCTCTTAAAAAAAAAAAAAAGCCTTTGGCAGTTTTATAAATAAAAATTGTATCTTACATTAGTTTGTTAGTCCACAATTGTTAGTCATTTGGTTTGCCTTTCTGTCAATTGTCTGAATAAGACAATATGTATTTCTATGAGAAGTATTTAGTAAATTTAGTAAATCAGCATTATAGATATTGATGTCCTTCTAAATTACTTGTGGCCCATTCAAGTTTTCTTTATAAATATGACCTAAATAAAGGAAAACAATAAGTAAGACTCAACCTTTCTTTAGAGATTTTGACAAACTTTCTCTTGGCTTGACTTCTTCTTCTTCTTCCTCTTCTTTTTGTTCTTCTCCTTCTCTTTCTTCTTCATTTTCGTCTTTCCTTTCAGGTACATTCTCTGATGTCTTTATTCCCTCTAATTCCTCCTCCAGATTTTTATTTTTTATAAGGGTATAATGAAGTTTCTCATTTGCATCCTCAAATTTCTCCTCTGCCTTTCTGGCTCTGCTTTCAACCTCCCTGGTGTACACAAATTCAGAGAAACAAAGCAAATGGAAAGGTCAAAAAATATCTTTGATATAGAAACCCATTGTCTAAAAAAAGCAGTGAGGGACCGGCAGGTGGAATGGTGGTTAAAGGCTCTGGATTCCCACATGGCCAACTGTGGTTTGAGTCCAGACCTGGCAGCTTACTTTCTCCCTTTCCTTTTCTCTTTTTCTCTGGTTAAATTAAAAAAAAATAGTAACAAATGGAATTAAATAAATATATATTTTTTAAAGGCATTGAGAATAGAAAACATGTATAAAAGGGTATAAATAAGAGAAGTAGTAGGATCAATGATTAACCAAGGATTAGAGACTTAGGAGTGACTCAGGATGCTACTGTAGAGGTGCAATCATGATGTGATTAAAGAATACAACATGGTGGAGACCAGCAGGTGGTGTGGTGGTTAAGGTGCTGGACACTCCCACATGGCCAACCACAGTTCGAGTCCCGGACCTGGTAGCTTGCTTTCTCGCTTTCCTTCTCTCTATGTCTTTCTCTGTTCAAAATAAAATAAATGAATTAATAATTAAAAAAGAAAAAAAAGAATACAATGTGGTAGGCCAGCAAGTGGCTTTGTGGTTAATGGCTGGACTTAACCAGTTCTACATGGCTGACTCCACAGTTCAAGTCCAGACCCAGTGGCTTAAAAAACACACCAGGATGGGACCGGCAGTTTGCATAATGGCTATGTCGCTGGACTCCCACGTAGTCGACCGCGGTTCGAGTCCCAGACCTGGTGGCTTAAACTCACGCCGGGC